TTTGGAGTCTTACTCTGTGGCCCAGCCTGGAGTGCAGTGGGGCATGCTCCCGGCCATCCCAGTGTCAACCTGCTGGACTCCAGCGATCCTTGTGCCTCAGCCTTCCAAGTAGCCAGAACTACAGGCGCACGCTATCACACCTGGCTGATTTTTTAAATTTATTGTAGAGACGAGGTCTCTTCAAGTTGCCCAGGTTGGTCTCGAAGTCCTGAGCTCAGGTGATCCTCTCACTTTAGCCTCCCAAAGTGCTGGGATGATAGGTGTGAGCCACCACACCCAGATGCTTTTTTTCTTTTTTTTTGAGTTGGAAGCTCACTCCATGGCCCCGGGTGGAGTGCAGTGGCATGCTCACAGCCACCCCAGCGTCGACTAGCTGGCCTCCAGTGATCCTTCATCCTCAGCCTCCCAAGTAGCTGGAACTAGAGGCGCATGCTACCACACCTGCCTAATTTTTGATTTATTGTAGAAACCAGAAACTACCCCTCCCAAGTTGCCCTGGCTGGTCTCAAATCTGTGGGCTCAGGCAATCCACTGGCCTTGGCCTCCCAAAATGCTGAGCTGACAGGCTGAGCCAATGAGTTCGACTCGGGTGCTGTTTTAATTGGGCCTTTCCTGGGATGAGCATGACGGGAAAAGACCCATAAATCCCGCTGGGGTGAGGGCCAGGCATGGGAAGCAACTTGGGGGCTGCTCCCAGCACCCTGGACTTCTTCAAAGACACCAGAAAATACTGGAAAGGCAGCAGTTAAGAACAGGACCTGAAGGTCCCACAGTCCAGGGGCCCCACCCCTCGCCACCTCTGGGAGGTTCCCCTGCAGCCACTCTGTGGATAGGCATGACATCTCTCTAGAAGGCGAGGGAACAGAGGCTGAGGGAGGGTGCACTGGCCCGAGGTCCCACAGCCAAGGCAGAGCAGACCATCCTGGCCAGGTCTTCTGAATCCCAACCACCTGAGACCCGTCTCCGACCGCTCCACACACATAGCACCCAGGATGCGAACACAGGGCGTGGCCACAGTTGATTCCCAGGGCCTGTCTTCTGATACCCCCAACAACCAGGAGAGGCCTGGGGAAGGCAATGATCGTACCGCCCTGGAGTCCTCATCCCCTGAGCCCACATCTCAGACCCTGAATACACCCCGGGCAAGAAAAACCCTTGGCAGAGGGAGTCAGAAGTCGCCAGGAGGTGAGCAGAGTAGAAGCCAGTCTCTGCCCACGGGCCTGGCTGGAAGGCAGGAGGGAAATTGCTCTCCTTCAGCCCAACCCATGCTTGCTCCCTGCCAGACACCTCCACCTGAGGTTCTGTGGCACGGCAGGCTTCCTGGCCTCTGAGCAGAGCCTTCACCCATAGGCTCTGGGCTGGGCACACGAGAATGCCTGCCTGCCCTGCCCTTGGTGCCACGACTGACTCGGGTTGACTCATGCCCCAGGAGGTCCTGTCCTCCGTGGCCCCCAACTCCCTTCCTGCACACACATCCTGTCCCTCACTGCCCTCTTCCCAGAAAGCTCTTTCTGGTCAATGTCACGCCTATAATCCCAGCACTTTGGGAGGCTGAGGTGGGAGGATTGTTGAGGCCAGGTGTTGGAGGCTGCAGTGAGCTGTGATTATGCCACTGTACTCCAGCCTGGGTGACAGGAGACTCCATCTCGAAGAGAAAAATCCTCCCAAGGGGTCCCCATGTAGAGTCCAGGCTGGGAACCTCATGCTGAAGGGACACAGGGACAAGGTGGGAGAAGGACTGCTCACAAGGGCTCCAGCGGGGAGACTCACCTGCCAGGTATGCCCCATCCCTCCCATGTGCCCTATGAAATAAGGATGCGGGGGAAGGAATGGCCATGCCAAGAAGTGTCTCCATGCTCGTTTGCGATGTGCTGAGGGGAGTCCTAGGTTAGAACGAACTGGGGTTCGGAGGTGATGGTGGCCACACTCTGAGAACTCCAAGATAGCTGAGCCCCAGCTGGGCAGAGAACACCGGCTCTAAAAGGGGCCTGGTCAGCCACAGCAGGGGAATACCTCCCCCTACTGGCAAGCTCGGAGCACAGCTCCCACCCTCCACTTCCAGAAGCCCAAGTCCCAATCCCACACATCCCAAGGAGCACTCCCTGGGAGGCCTGGGGGTGGGCCAGAGCAGGGCTTCCAAGCCTGGGCAACAAAGTCAGGCAGGGGAGGGGCTGGAACCCCTCCAGGACACCCCTTGGGGCTGTGGAAAGTCATGGAAGCTCAGCCCCCTTGTCTGCACAAAGGTGATTGACAGACCCGAACGGGGAGGGTCTGAGACACAGGAATGACCCAGCACAGCCTTGCCCAGCGCACCAGCCGTGCTAGAGGTTGGGTGGTCTCCTGGGAAGAGCCGACTCAAACCATGGTGGCACCTCGTGCTTCTTTTGCTGTGGCTGCTGAAGCTCCAAGTCAACCGAGGCTTCCCGGCTCTCGTGGGGCTGACTCACACGAGGCTTTCTTCTTCCAGGGTCAACAGTCTACGGATGTGACTGGTTCTTGGTCTCCCTTTGGATTTCCCAGTTTTAGTGACATCCCATCAGCCTCAAGTCTCTCCTGGAACAAGGCGTGCCCCCACTACAGGTCTGTCCTCACACACACCAAGCCAGGTCAGCAGGGGCTTTCAGAAACAATCTCCCTCAACCAAGACAATGCTGCCATCTAGGAAACAGTGGTTCCAAAGACACAAGCAGGATCCCCTTAGAGACTTTAAAAAATGTTATTGGAGGCCTGGATAGGCCCCAGGAGTCTGCAATTTTAAAAAGCCCCATCCCCACCACAGAGCAGAGTTTGAGAATCTCTGGCCTAGAAACACAAAAGGGAGTTACTAGTTGGAACACTGAATGTCAAAAGACTTTACAAAATATAATTTTCTAAATAAAATAAATCTCAACTTTATTCAACTGATGTGCTTCAGAAACAATGGGAGTAAGTCCAAATCTGCAGATCAAATGCGTTCAAATGCATTAGAGCAAAACTCAGTGTGGAGTCTTCTAGGCGTCTAAGAGCCTCCCGCTTGCTTCTGAATTCTCTTACATGGTCACGCCCAGGGCAAACGTCACAGAGCAAAGGGGCTCCCAGGCTCCTCTCCCAACAGGCGCACAAGTCCTGAGACGCAGCCGAGGCCGGAGCCACCAACCCGCCCATCTCCACTAGAGGGTGCTCCTTCCCTGGTCTGAGCCCTTCCCTAGGGCAGGGGCCAGGTCTGTTTCTTCTGGGTACTGAGAGAGGATGTGAGAAGGGGGTCACGTGATGACACACTATCTGGGAGCCCTGGGCTGTGGTTCCCCCACCCCAGGGGGCAAAGACCCACAAACCATGTCCCCAGTTTTTACTGCAAAGCAGGGAGACCTGGCCCTGGGGGTGCAGCAAGAAGGTTAGTAAAGGCACCACAGAAAGACATCCACAGTTGATGCAGGCAGGGCTGGGGCTTCTGCTCCCCAAGTTCAAGTCCCAGTGGCTCAGGGTGCCCTTGCATGCCTTTCTCCGAAGTGTGCTGTCTGGCAGGATCCTCAGGTGCCCAGGGCACGGCCAGGTCTGTGTAGTCTCAAAATTCATGTCCTGGGCCACCAAGAGCCCTGTGCGGGGTCCCTGGGACAGTGGGGGTGGGTGTGCCTCCAGAGTGAGAGCTGGGTCTGGGGAGGTTGCGCCCTTCTGTCCACTCCAAGCCACACCCTTCACCCTGCAGGGCCCCGATCCTCCTCAGAATGGGCCAGAGTCCTCCTTCCTTGGAAACTTGGGCCTCTATTTGGCCCAGGTAGGAGCAATGGAGATCCCACGGGACCCAGAGTACCCAGGAGACATGTGTCAACAACCTGTGACAGTCAAGAGGTGGGCCCGTGCCACAGATGTGCCCCAAGAGACCACATGGCCACAGAACACTGAGAGGGACTCAGGACACAAGAAGAACACATGGAAGAAGGGACGTCACACAGAACAGTTCAAGTGACAAGGGAGAAAAACAGGAATGAGGGGCAGGACAGTGGAAGGCAAGGCTGACACTGACCAGGCTCCCAGTTCTCCCGGGAACTATATCCAGGACCCTCAGGGCTGGCAGGGCCTTTGACCAATGAGAAAGTTTACTCGCCAGGTCTCTCTGGTATTTTCAGTGATTAATCACACTAGATGGACTTCAAGGCAGACTGGCTTTATGATAAATTCCACAATGTGCCAGGTACAGGGCTGGTCAGAGTGGGAGAAAGGTCGTGGTCCCTGAAGAGTGTCACAAGAACAGATAGACCAGGGGTGTCTCGTGGGTGGTCTCTGCCCATGTAGGTGGCGTAGGACGGGATTGGATGGCGGGCACCAGGACGTTTCAAGGAGAGGAGAGAGCCAAGAACAAGAGAGGGGAGTCTGGGGGCAGGACCGCAGCTGGCAGCTCCCCAGCTCTGCACACAGCTGTCTTCCAAGGACAGAGGTCTACCGAGCTCTAAGCCATCCCATTAGTGACTGGGAGCAGCCATGAAGGTCTCCCGCCTCAGGACTGAGCACTCCCAGGGAGCCTGTGGACCTCACTTAGAAGGGAGAGAACACGTGCGGGAAACCCCACTGGCCACCACACCTCATCCCCCAAGGTGGTCGGTCCAGGGAAGGCTGCCCAGTGCTGGCAGTCAGTCACCCAGGGTGGGAAGGGGCCAGCAGCAAGAGCATGGGGGCAGAGTGGCGTAATGGGGGGGGGCGGGCTGGCTCCTCTCCTCTGGCACTCTGGCCTTGCCATCAGGAGCCAGAGAGGCTGGGGGCGAGAGGCTGACAGTGCAGGCAGGCCTTCTCATGAGGAAACCTTCCTAGGGCGCCACCTGTGTGGACAGAGCCACCCAAGCCACCCTCTCCCTCGCCCGTGAGAGCAAGCGTGAGAGTGAGCACAGGGACTTTGTTCACATCCTCAGCACCGTGCACCCGGTGGCCCCAGCCCCCTCCACGATGCCACAGGACACAGAGCAGGTCTGAGGGGAGACCACGATGCGTCCCGGCTTCCTCAGGCTCACGTGGGCCTCATGCACACACTCACACTCGCGGGCGCTGTCCAGTGGGCCGGGCTCACGTCAGGTACTGCACCACGAGGAACATGATCACGCAGGTCAGCAGCATCCCGCCCACCATGAAGTACTTATCCTGGAAGGCCCGCTTCTCGACCAGCCGCATCACTGTGTTGGATAGACCCAGCGTGTTGGCGATGTCCAGGATCTTCTTCTGAGTGCCCTGAGCAGAGGAAGGAGGGAGACGGTCAGCAGCTCTGCAGGGGCAGGTGCGCACCGGAGGGTTCTGCCGACAGACACTGCAGAAGCAGCAGCAGCCACTAGTGCAGGGCAGGGACTTGGCCACAGTGCCAGGCAACGCAAAGGCAGAGAGGCCTTTCCACATGGCGCTGCCCAATAGGCTGTGGACAGCCCACACACGCGTGTCACACAGACACACATGCAGCTCCCAGCTCTCGTGTCCATGCCTGTGTGTACAGAATGAACCCTGGTTCATATTACATATAAAAATTAAGCTGAGAAGAACCACAGAATTAAAGGTAAAAGCTGAAAGCACAATAAAGCTTGTAGAAGAAACCACAGAAGAATATCTAACTGATATCAGCTGAAACAACACCCAGTGCCCACCAGCAGAGGCAGCGTGATTCACCACGTGCACAATAGAAACCACCCAGAGGGCCGACTGTCACTAAGCACAGGCCACCAGTGTAGAGCCAGACACACAGCAGTCAGTGGGAAACGTTTCGGAGAGCAAGAAGCCACCCACACGAGAGTCACTGAGCACACTTACATGAATCTATGGGGACATAAACCAGAATGGCAACAGGGGAAGACACCGACTGCTGGGGCGCAGGAGCTCTCGGGGATGAAAATGGCCGTCGTGTGACAGGCCTGTGAGTACAGAGCTGCAGATACGACCTGCCCACGTCACCATGTGTAAATTATGCCTCAACAAAAATACTTAAAATCGGGCAATCCCTTCGGGTCCCTCCCACTGTGGGAGCTTTTCTGTCCTCTCAATAAAGCCTGCTTTTTCACTTTCAAAAAAAAAAACAACTTAAAATTAAAAAGGCAACATCAGAGCCCTTCCTCTTGGCCACCCAGCTCCAACAGTCCAACAGCCTGTCCATTCCAGACAGGACCTGGGAGCCCACCGGGGAGTGTGCGGTCCAAGACCACATTCAAGAGGGTCTGAAGCGGGAGATGGAAGAAGGCCAAAGGCCACGCCATGGACAAAGACAGACACGCATAGACCTGGACTCCTCATGTAAGCGGCACCACCCACCACCCAGACAGAGGGGGTCCTGTTCTTTAACTAAGAGCCCAAACACCTGGCCCACTCCTCCCCACTGCCTCTACCTCTCATTTCTAAGCACGTTCCATTCCGTACAAAGCAGCCAGACCCCATCCCCAGACACATGCTACCACCACATGTGCATGATGGTGTCTAGTCCAAGACCCACAAACATTTTTTGATGAATGCACATTCTTGAGCAACTGAGAGGGGAGGCAAGGAAGAGACAGTACAAGGCAGGAACAGGAACTGAGTGTACAGCCAGCCTTGTCCAGGGAGTACATGTCTAGCCCGATCACTGTCAGAGAGACCAGAGAGAGGTTTCCTCCCACGATGGTGACAGGAAAACCGAGGCCCTTGCCGAAGCCCTGCTTGGCTCTGAACACGCAGACTGACTCATCATTGTGTACAGCTCAGACTCAAGCTGCTAAACCCCTGAAGATGGCCACAGATTTCAAAATATGTCACCATTTTCAACCCATCGGCCTCAACTGTAGGGGGGACTGGGCCCAGCTTATGCCTGGCTCTGTGCCTTTCAAATAGTGTGGGTGGGAGAAGCCTGGTGGTGTGGGAGGCAAGTGGAGGGATCTGAGGTAGAGCCAGGCAGCACAGCGGCAGAGGAAGCAATGGAAGCCCATGTCTCCACCCAGCGCCTCAGGCTCCAGCATATCTCAACAGCACAGTGGGGCAGATGTGGTCTCCAGGCCTCAGCAGGCAGCCAACCTGTGCCTTGACCATCAGCCCTAACCCCATGGCCCCTCAGCTGATGGCGTCTCATCCTGAAAGGGTGCTGCTGCTTCTCTGAGACATGAAGAGCAACCATTCTCAAAGAAAAGGTGGATTCGGCAACAATATAAGTTCAGGTCACTGAAGGGAGCTTCCGTGGAAGGGGAGGTCCAGCGGGCTGTGAGACTACCCCCCAGGACACTAGAGACACCCCCTGGCCTGTCTGTCCCACCCCCGTAGGGATGGCAGAGGCTGCTCAGACGCGGACCAAAGTCCTGCAGAGCCCAAGGCTCAACAGGGTCCAACAAAAACTGAGATAAAGCTCTAGCTTCCGAGGGCCTGTTTCTCACAGCTCGGGGCTGGGAGTGCTTCGCAGAGGACCACACCCTGATAACAGGCAGTGCCACACCCTGATATCCAGCAGGGCTGACACAGGAAAAGGGTTGAGGCTCGGCCTCATGACTGACATCAGAGTGTGTGTAATGTTTCTGTAAACCACTCCCGGGGCTGGAGTCTCAGTAGTGCCAATGGGGCAGGGCTCCTGAGAACACCTGTGTTAAGACAGAGCAAGAGCCACTGGACTGCCAGCAAGTGCCCTAGAAGCAACCACCAGGCAGCCTCAGGCACCACAGGGGGACTCAGTTACCCAAGTATGAAAGGGTCTCAGCAATTAGGCATCCATAGTGGATGCCCGAGGGGAGGGAGAACCCAGGAGTGGGCTCTGATGCACAGTCATGTTGTTCTTCTCCCAAGAGCAGATGCTGCCATAGGCCTTCTCGGCCTGCCTTGGTGCCCCGTGTGGCAAGTACAGTGGACAGGAAAGAACTGAGCTGTGAGCCCTGGATGGCTCATCTCAAGTGCCGGCAAAGGACCTGGTTCCTTTCGGGCTCGCAGTGCCTCAACTTCAACAGGAGGGATCCCAGTTCAAGGGCTCTGTCTTGTCATCCATATATCACAACATGGAGACATGTCACCACACGAAACCCAGGAACCAAACTGTTACATGAGGCAAAACAAGAGGCCTTCTCCCTGACCCCAGCAGCAACCCCACCTTCAAGGTCAATCTCTGGGCCCTCAGCCCCTCCAGAATGCTGTGCCCGCCTCCAATGAGGTCATCCATGCCGCTGTGGATCTGCTGGAGGGAGGAGTTAAACTGCAGGGACTCATCCATCGGGATGGCAGTGTCCGAGTCCTGTGGGAGAAACGCAGCACTCGGTTAGCACGGCTCCCGGGCGGCCCCTGGAGTCTGATCACCCTGCTCTTGGCCAAGGCTGAGCCAGAACAGCCAGAGGGAGTATGCAGGAACCAAAGGACCCCACAGAGGAGAAGAGGTCAGCAGAGGCCGGAGTGGCCTCTGTTCAAACAGAAGTGAAGGACCCCTCCTCTGACACATCCCTCTCCAAGCAATTCTGTGACCCGAGGATTCACTCCTATCCTCATTCCAACCAGGAAAGGCTCTTCCTTGGTGACCACGCCGGGTCTCCGGCCTTCCTGCCCATGTGCTAGCCTGGTGCCCAGTGCTTGGTGCTGGCTTCCCTGAATGCAGTGATGTGTGGGCTTCGGGCCTTCGGCTACTTTCTCCACAGCGTTCTCTCCACGGAGACTGAGACTACACACAGAAGGCCTAAGGGCGCCCCAGCACGAGCCCTCTCCTGCGCAGGCAAGAGAGGCTTGCCGAGGAAATCAAGGGAGCAAAAGGGAACCCCCCCACATCGTTCCACTCCACAGGCTCGCAACCCAAGACACAAGCCTCAGCGCAGAAGTTGTAGAAGCACCCCCATTTTACAGATGAAGAAACTGAAGCCTGGAGAGGTAAAATAATTTGTTCAAGATCACACAGCTGGTAAGGAGTCCCATGTCAGCTGGGTTGCCCTGCTGACATGTGAGCGTCTCACGTGGGAGCCCTGCCTCTGGGTGTCCTCACACATGTTACTCAGCACCTGAATTGCAACCGGCATCTGGCTACCGCTCAGTGGGCCAAGACTCTAGTGTTGAGACTCATTAGAGATGTTTCTTCAGGTCTTCGACAGGCGCTTCTCGCGTGCTGCTTGTATACACAAATTTCCCACTCTCCTACCTGAACAGGTATGGCTGGTAGGGCGTTATCTCAGAAAAACAGGACAGTCGCACATCACAGGCCTGGAAGATTTTTCCTTGACACGTTGAGTTGTTCCAGGGCCCACTGTGTACACAGTGCCACACCAGGCTGGTCAGGCACAAAACTATCCCAAGCAATCTGCCAGGAAAGGCCCACGTGCACCATCACAACCACTAAAGGCCCAAACGCATCCCAGATTGCCTCTACATTCTGAATTGCTAAACACTGTGACTCAACTGCTCATTCTGGAGAAACAAAAGTAAGGCAGGATGCCCTGAAGCATCCAGGAAACTCACTGCAGAGCTCGGACAGCAGTGACAGTGAGACACCTAAAATGCAGGAGGTGAAGAGAATTCTGACGGCAGCCTGAGAGCGCGAACGTTGCTTCAGAAAATAAACTTCTTCTCAAACAACCAAGATACAAAAAGTCAAAGCCTGCCTCACTTGGTGGAACATACCATGTGGGACACAAGAAAGATCAGCATGTTCTACAGCCATGATCCCACCGTGGGCAGGACAACTGGTTCAGATCCCACACTCTCAGACAGCCTCAAGCCAAGCAGGTCATCCAACCCCAAGCATCTGTTCACAAATTCCTCCAAACTGCTGCACAGACTAGGGGCAGAAGTATTTTAATGCCTCTGACACTGAACCACACACAGACAATAGCCACTGCCCGAGGGCAGCACTGACCCTACCTCCCCAACAAATGCCCTCAGTTCTAATCACCTGTGTCCATCTGATCACCAGGTGAACGCCCACCTCTCTGCACTGGGCCAGTCTGACCAGGTAATTTTTGCTTTTGCCAATCCCGTCAATTTCACCGTTTCCCCTTCAAGTTTTGTTAGAAAAAGAGATTCCCTGCCCAGGTCTAGTCTCTGCGGTCCAAGACTAGACTGTCATCACCAGTCGGTTTCTTCCTCATCATTCGGCCTCAGACGCCCCTAAAAGGTGAAGCTCGAAACCAGGGCACCAGCCCCCGTGTAGCTAGCACCCAGTGCCCAGGGCCTGGCTTACGTTGGCCGTGAAGGTGCGCGACAACAGCTCTTCTCGCTGTCTGTCCTGCTGCTCTCGTGCATAGCGGCGGTGCTGGAAGTTGCTGAGGGCAGTCTGCAGGTGCTGGACGTCATACTTCAACTGGTCAACACGACTGAAATTGACGGAGAGTGTGATTACATTCCAGGACCTTGGGGTGGCGCCACCTGAGACCACCAGGCTCTGTGTTCAGGAGATGATGTCTCCTACTCCCCCACCCCCGACCCCCCACCCCCCCAAGATCTGATTTTGATCAATGATGTTGAAAGTGAAGACGTGGCTTGTGTTAAAGTGACGCTGTAGCACACCGCATTCCAGCAGCTTTACTTAAATATCTGTTGGTTTCCGACTCTGGATGCATGACAGGAACAGGTGACAGGAAGCAGGTTCGATGACCTCCTCCTGACCTCCTGAGTATTAGATTGCTCTCCTGGAAGAAGCCCAGGGGCATCTTTGAGCTAAAGCATCAATGAGGTTTCATAAAACTTCTGGAAGGGGGGCTGGGTGGAGGTGGTTTCATTTCAATTTCATGGTGGAGTATCAAGCATTAGCTCAACATTTCATTATAGATAGGCTGATAGGCGTGATTAAGGTCAAGACTTCATTTCAGCCCAAGAAGCACCCAGTGGGAAGAAGGCGCCGAGCACACCTCCACAGCAGCATTTGGTGGCAAGGGCCACGCATCTGGCCAGAAAAGCAGAACTGGAGGTGAAATTTCCAAATGACACAGCAGAGGCCACAAACCTCACAGGCTTTTTATTTTGGATAGGGATTACTCAGATAGAATTTGTGCTCTTTGGGGGGCCATTCTCTCTGCATAGTCTTAATTTTTCAGTATGTACATGGATTTTCCAGAATGAATGTCCCATTGCCACTTGGGAGAAAGATCTGTCCTGCCAGGCCAGGGGTGTCAGAGCCATATCAGAGGGCAGTACTCACAGTTTGGCATTCTGTCTTTTGTTAGGGGGCTCCTTGTTGGACAAAATCTCCAGACGTTCCAGACGGCTGAATATCTGGTCTATGCTTGCTTGGATTTCATTTTCTACAACTGCACAAAAGAGAAAAAAGAATAACTGCTGAAAAAGATAGTGAACTTAAATTAGAATGACAAATTAAACATATTTTTTTCCATAGCCAATAAACCAGTACACATTTCAAAAAGAGAAAAACATATACTAAGTAATAGAAAAAATTCAAGGTATACTATATTATCTCAAAAAAACATACAGCTGTTAATGTTGAAACAATGTCAATTTTTTTAAAAAGCTGAAGGTAGCTTTTTTAGCTGAAGACAGCTTCAGGCACAGTGACTCAAGCCTGTAATCCCAGCACTTTGGGAGGCTGAGGTGAGGGAATTGCCTGAGCTCCCAGGTTTGAGAATAGCCTGGGCAACTTGGTGAGACCTCATTTCTACAATAAAACCAAAAGATTAGCTGGGCATGGTGGTGCATGCCTGTAGTTCCGGCTACTTGGAAGGCTGAGGTGGAAGAATGGCTTGAGCCCAGCAGGTCGATGCTGGAGTGGCCATGAGTGTGCCACTGTACTCTAGCCTGGGCGACAGAGTAAAACTCCAACTCAAAAAAAAAAAACAGAAAAGAAGGTAAATCTGCAAAAGTAAATCTACCTAGATTTTCTGATATAGATCTCTCTTCCTTTGGAACTTTTCTTAGGGGTTATCAATACCCAGTAAAAAGACTGCCAGTTGAATTCCCTACAGTAATGAGGTTTAAAAAAAGCACAAGGGAGAGACTCATATGTGAACACACGAGAAGCGTCCCCTAGGCGTTTTGCAGGAACCAGTGGGCTAAGCCATATTGGAGTCCCCAAAATAGACTAGCTATCAGTAGGAGAGGCCCAGGAAAGGATCCACAGGGGTGGAAAGATATGATGACTACAGTCATTTTCCTTATCCCTCGTGATAAGATGGTAGGAACGAGTACTTTCCACATCTAATCACATAACAATGAGATTGTCAGGAAGGCAAAGTCTGATGAACAAGAAAACTAGACTGCACGGCGCAAGCGTCCAGACAGCTTCTTGTCTCAGAAGGAGGTGACAGTTGTGACACTGCCCCTTCCCAGGCCTGTGCGCCCACAGCAAACAAAGCCAATTCAACTCAGATTAAGGAGGCCAATGACCAGGAGGGACATGCTTGTGCAGCTGTGGAAGGAGACCAGAGAACAGGAAGGCAGGCCTGGTGAGCCCAGCAGGGAGGTGGGAAGACAATCCCACAGGTGGCGTCCATGGGACTGACTACGAATAGAAAGAACTGCCGGGCTCAGTGGCTCAGCCTGTAATCCTGTGCCTTTGGGGGGCTGAGGTGAGTGGACTGCCTGAGCCCGCAGGTTCGAGACCCGCCTGGGCAGCTTGGCGGGACCTCATCTCTACAATAAATCAAAAATGAGTCAGGCATGGTAGCACGCGCCTGTAGTTCCAGCTACTCGGAAGGCTGAGGCGGAAGAATGGCCAGAGCCCAGCAGGTCGAGGCTGCAGTGGCTGAGAGCAGCCACTGCACTCCAGTCTGGGTGACAGAGTGAGACTTCAACCAAAAAAAAAAAAAGAATAGAAAGAACCCCAGATGCAAAAAACAGCATGTGGTTCAAAGAGAGCGCGGTGTGGGAACAAGACTAATTAATATTGCTGCTCATTTCTGCATCATCCTAAACGTCACAGTTCTCAGCTCAGAAGAAATGGCCAATCCCATGAAACCCCTCTGCAATGCGACCACGCACATTCCTCCGGGCCCAGGTAATGAGATTAAGGCAACACAGGCGAGGACTCCACGTTGCCAGGTGAGTGAAGGGGTAACGAGGATAAGACCTGGGAACTCCTACACCCCTTCTGCCCTCCCCAGCTGGATAGTCAGGCCCCAGGCAGACCCCCCAGGAAGCCCCGCCCACTGCAGCGCCTGGGAAATGGCCTATCTCCAGTCAGTTACTCACGGTGCACAGACTGCTTGTCTGCCTTCTCCAGCCGTCCCATGTGAGCCTGAATCTCATGGACCTGCCTGTCAAGAAAGAGGGAGGAAACGAGTGAACCAGGAGCAGTCACTAGCGCCACGCCACACTCAGGAGGGATAATTTTTCTGATGCCAACATGCAGCTGATTTAAACTGACAGGATCACTGAGCTGCAAAATTTGTTTGTGGCACTTCAGGCCACACATTTGGGCGTGGTTCCCAATGTCCTAACCCTAACAGTAATAACGCTGATATCAGGCAGCATTTACTGAGCGCCTTTACTGAGAGCACCCAAGATGCTCTGCTAAGTCAATCACCCTGTGAGGAAAGCACTATTATCCTCACTGCATACGTTAGAGGACGGGAGCCCAGAAAGGTCATAGAACTTGCTCAAGATCCCACAGCAGGTGATGAAGTGCTGGGCATTGCTCTGTAGGAAGAGGCAAAGGGCAAGGGAGACAGAACCCCTGGCCTTGGAAACAGTGTAATTAGGAACGACAGAACAGACAGATGAGAAAAGTCCTGGACAATTTATGAGAACTCGACCCAGTGTGCACAAACAGAAAGTGAGGGCTGCGCACAGTGGTTTAGGCATGATGGCGCTACATCACAGTGGTGCTAAGGCATGGGGGCGCTAGGCCCTGGCTCCATGCCCAGTGGTATTATGCACAGTGGCCTACAGCACAGTGGCACTACACATGGTGGCTCTAGGCACAGTGGTGTTATGTGCAGTGGCAAGGATGCACTGGGGCTGCCCTGCTGACAGAGGGGGTTCTGAGTACCACACAGAAGAAGGCATGACCTGGAGGAAGAAGACAGGAAAGAAGCCACAATGCAGCAAGGCACACCACAATCCCATGGACCGCAAGAAGGCTGTACTCTGACAGGCTGCATGGAGGGGAGAGGGCACAGGGTGTCCAGCTGGAGGGAACCACTCCCAGAAAGGCCCTGGGCTACTCTCCTGCCTGGGAGCCCTCTTTCCCTGGGATGCAGCTCCACATCTGGGACCTCTGGCAGGACCCCAGACACCAGGCCCCAGCAGCTTCTAGGGGATTCTAGGACTCAGCCAAGGTCACTGTAAGAACCTTCCCTAGTGGCCCATGAGTGGTCCCAGGACACTGCCTAGGCAGGCCTCCACAGCCACCTTATGGCACTCATGGGGGAGGTATCTCGGTGAGGGCTCACAGAATGGGGACTGCTGAGCCCCCAAATCATCCCAGCCCCAAGGGAGGGTCAGTATCACCTCTGCCAAGCACAGGACACACCCCACCCTCTGGCTTCCCACTGCCAGGCGGGCGCCCAGATCTGATTTCAGTGTGGTCAAGCTTCCCAGTGGCCTCTAAACACACCCTGGAACACCAGAAGAAGCAGCCAGCTGGCAAATGTCTCCGCAGATGGCCCAGATGAAGGCTGCAGGTGGGAGAATGAGACTCTCCTGAAGGCCAGAAGAGGCTGTGAGGCAAGCTTTGGGGGACTCAATGGAGCAAATCTGCATGCTAGTGGCATTGCCAGCAGGAACAGCCACTTGATAAAAAAGAGTGGGGACAAAGAATAGCCAGGACAATTCTGAAGAAATACTAGGAGTCCGCCTGCCTTGAGACTTACTATAGGCACAGTGGTTAAAACAACACAGCAGCAGTGCGGGTGCCAAGGGACAAGGAAAGTCAAGGCCCAACCCTGAGCGGGAGGAAAGGATGGCGCCCAGAAGCAGTCCCACATACTTGGGAACTTGGTGACATAACCAGCTGGAAAAGAATGGGTGACAATAATGCTGACAGTTCTGTTTGCTCTCTAGGCGGAAAGTGGCACTGGGTGACGCACACACTGCACTCCAGGCAGCTGAACGCCCTCTTGTGACAGCAGGGCACCAGCCCCCTGGAGGCAAACCAGATGCAGGGATGGTCCGGGTTCAAGGAGGGATCCTTAAAGAGACTGGACAGAAACCTCCCCGGCAAAACCCACAGACCACATTAAAACCAAAGGCACATCTGTGTGCATCTGACCACATTAAAACCAAAGGCACCGTGAAAAAACTGGAAGATGGCCCAGCCTGGAAGGTTTCCACCGTAGCTAACAGAGGACCCAGGACCAGAACAAATTAAAAGGAAGAGCCCACCCAAGGAGGTTTCTCAAAAGGGGAAAGGGCAAAGGGCAGAAAAGGAACCCAAACAGCCAGTGAATCATGCAGAAACACGACTTCATTAGGAAAACATAAGGAAAAGCCATGAGCATGTCAGCACTCTCCCATTGACGGACCAACCTTCAGCATGTGAGACAGAGGGTTGTTAAGGACATCGGAAAAACAGGACATCACACTGGAGGGGTTAGAAATGGTCTAAAACTTGAACAGCCTCCTGCCTGTGACCAGGAGAACCAAGCACATGTGATCTGCACCCACTTCTGGGCGTGTGTCCCAGTGACCGGCACGTGCCGTGGAGACGTGTAAGTCAGGAGGATCCTCAAAGCCATCTGCCCAGGCCACGATCCGGGCTTCTCCACCCAAGTTCCATCTGCTTTGAATGAACTGAAGGCACAGCCAGGAAAGCGACGCCCTGTCTACACTTCATGCTAAGAGGAAATGAACACAAAGCCACCAAGCAAGTGTGAGCAGGGGGCCCACTAACATGCTGTGGAGAAACAAAGTTCCAGCCGAGCTGGGACTTCACAGGGGACACCCACGTACAATTTGGCAAGAAAGACGCTTTAGCCCTGTGTAGCATGGGACAGTGGTGGCTCTTAGTGACACTATAACCAAGCAGAGAGTGAGCAGCACGTCAGCAGGGGTCTAGGAAGACTCTCAGAAGACCTAGGAGGAATTTAAGAATGGAACTGCTGCTAGCCGGGCTCGGTGGCTCAGCCTGTAATCCCATGCCTTGGGGAGGCTGAGGGGAGTGGGTTGCCTGAGCCCATGGGTTCGAGACTCGCCTGGGCAACTTGGTGAGACCTCATGTCTACAATAAATCAAAAATTAGCCGGGCATGGTAGCGTACACCTGTAGTTCCAGCTGCTTGGAAGGCTGAGGCGGAAGGATCGCCGGAGCCCAGCAGGTTGAGCCCGCTCCCGGCCACTGCACTCCAGTCTGGGTGACAGAGTGAGACTCCAACTCAAAAAAAAAAAGAATGGAACTGCTTTTTCTAAGTTCATGAAGCCGCCCCTGGTGATAAGTACCCACTTTGCATCCATGCTGCCCTCACCACTGTGATCAGGAAACGAGTTGTCAAAGGAAGGTCTAGTTCTACTGCGCACAAGCTCAGGAACACTAAGCGAGATGTTCAGCTCCACAGTGCCTCAGTCTCCCCAGCTGTACAGCAGGGATACTGATAATAAGGGTCCTGACACAATATTAGGATGCTGTACAACCTACAGTGTCACACAAGTCTAATGCTGTTTCTACCTTCCTTACAAGCAGTGGTGACCTGGTACCTTCATCTCACCTGCCTCTCCCTGCATCTAGTCTTTCCCTCCTCTGGGGGAAAATCAAGAGAGAGAAACTGATCTTGAGATCTGGTCATAGTTTCTAACCCAGTGGCTGATCAAAATCACCCAGAGAGCTTATGCAACAGAGTACTTCCTGAGCCCCAGATCTGCTGAGTCAATCTCTAGGGAGTAGGGCAGGGACCAGTCTTGGACCACGCAGTGGACAGATGTGAAGTGTTTAATACCACGGGAATCCCAAAAACAGAATGCAGCTGTGAGCTCCTCCATAAAGGTCATACATGAAGTATTATTTAAGTGTTAAATGTTTGTTCTGCTTTTCATCTTTTATTCTCATTCATCATTCAAGTAGCTCAGGAGTTTTCAAAATACATCATTTTTGTTTGTTTTGAGTTGGAGTCTCACTCTGTTGCCCAGGCAGGAACGCAGTGGTACGCTCAAGCCACTGCAGCCTCAACCTCCTGGGCTCAGGCAATCCTTCTGCCTCAGGCTTCCAAGTAGCTGGAACTACAGGCATGCGACACCACACCCCACTAATTTTTTGATTTGTTGTAGACACAAGGTCTCACCAAGTTGCCCAGGCTGGTCTTAAACCCCTGGGCTCAGGCAATCCTCTCGCGTCCATCTCCCAAAGTGCTGGGATGACAGGCACGAACCACTGCGCCCGGCCTTCAAGATAACACAACTTTTAACATGCTGAATTCCAGTGCACTTTCAGGGACATGACAAGAGATAACCACAAACTGGGTTCAAAGTCTCCACTTCAAATCAGTATGTTCAGTTACTGCTGTGTCAACCCAGTTACAATCATTAATTTCCACAGCTGCAAAAGTTAATTGCTGGTGCTCACAGCACTTACATTTCCCATGAGACACTCGATCACAGGCACTGTCATATGGAGCTGGGAGGAGCCTGACAGCAGGAGCAGCATAAATATCATCCTACAGATATTTAGGTTACAGGAAGCGAGGCAAGGAGGTCGTGGCCAGGACTCCCACGCCAGGGTCAGTAGGACCTGGGGAAAGCCAGACAGGAGCACCATGCAGCAAAGGAGGGTAAGCTCCAGGAAGGCAGGGCTGTGCTGTCAGCATGGAGGATGGCGCCCACACACTGCAGGTGCTCCGTAAACATTCACCAGTGAACAAGTGATGGGGTAGTAGAGAGTCTAACAGTGGGGGGCAAAACTGGCCTGCTGCTGTTTTTGACAAATAAAATTGGACTGGAACACAGGTTAGTTTACACACTGTCTGTGGCTGCTCTCCTGCTATGACAGCAGAGCTGAGCAGTTGCCACTGAGACCTTGGACCACAGAGCCTAAAACACTACCTGTCTACTGACAGAAAAAGCTGGCCAGACCTGCTGAGTCTGCAGGAGGGCAGCTGGAGGCCTGCGGCGGCAGGAAGCAGCTACACCCCACACTCCTTGTTCAGGACACCACCAGTATTCCTCTTCTGAACTACTCGGATTTCTCTACTAAGCACACTGTGCCTGGCTAATTTTAAAAATCTGCCCTTTCTTACTAACATGGTCCTGACTTTCTGCTTCATTCCTTTTCCAAATGACTCACAGACTAGTTTAAGTCCCTTCCTATAATTTTTATATGAGAATAAAACTCTCCTGGGTAAAAGCAAACTCTGTCATCACAAAGTAGGTTCTCTATTTTCTTTTTTTTTTGAGTTGGAGTCTCACTCTGTCACCCAGACTGCAGCCTCGACCTGCTGGGCTCTGGCGATCCTTCCGCCTCCGCCTTCCAAGTAACTGGAACTACAGGTGCGCGCTACCACATCCAGCTAATATTTTATTTATTGTAGAGATAAGGTTTCGCCAAGTTGCCCAGGCAGGTCTCGAACCCGCGGGCTCAGGCAATCCACTCACCTCGGCCTCCCAAAGTGCTGGGATTAAAGGCTGAGCCACCGAGCCCGGCCTCTATTTTCAACCATCCCAATCAAACATCTTATTCACCAGAGAAACCCATAAACTTAGAAAATGTAAGAGTAAGAGCATCACCACCCTCTTGCACCCCATGTTCCAAAGTGTTTCTTCTGGTGTGAATTCATTAGGAAGTCTAATTCCCTATTTTATTTCATATCCAGGCTCCAGGAATATGAATTCCAGTGTTTTCATTAGAACAAAACTACAGCATACATTAGAAAGTTCTTGAAACAGGATAGGCTTGTAACTTAAAAAATTGAAAACAGGAACTAAAACCAATGCTTGCACACCTGAGTTCATAGCAGCGTTACTCTCAATAGCCAAAAAGGTGAAAACAATCCAAGTGTCTATCAACAGATGAATGGAGCCACAGAATGTGGGACGTACACACAAGAGAATAGTACTCAGTCGTAAAAAAGGATGAGATTCGGATACATGCTACAACCCAGAGGAACCTTGCAGACACCAGGCTGAGTGAATAAGCCAGACAAATACCATGATTCTCCTTCTGCAAGGCACCTAAGATAAGTAAGTTCGTAGACAGAAAGTAGAACAGAGACTACCAGGGGCTCTGGAAGGGGGAAGTGGGGAGTTTCCGCTTAACAGAATTTGTTTGAGATGATGGAAAAGTTCTGAAAATGGACAGTTGGCGTGAACCGTGAATGCACTTCATGCCACTAAACTGCATACCTAAAATGGTTAAAATGTAAACTTTTACGTTGTATTTTACAATAAAGAGTAAATCATAATTCCCCCGCAAGACCCCAGGGTAGGTATGGCCCTCTCCACACCCGACTGCGTATCTCAGCAAATTCCCAAGCCGTGGGACAAGACCATAAAGGACACCGGCGGCGAGGAACGTAAACCACGAGAAGCCCGCACCCCGCTCCATGTTTTCGAGGCAACCTGCTTCCAGATGCGATTAGCCAGCAAGAACGGTGGCGGCCACTCGTGCGGGACTCCCTTTGTTCCGTAAAAACGGGGTCGCCGGCACAAACCCGACCAGGGGAAAGCTCTTTCTCCGCACGTGACTCGACGACTACCGAACCGTCAACGAGGGCGGGGCCGTGTCTCCATGAGCTCGACCCACCCGGCGGGCAGGCGCCGGGCCATGCATCATAACTCCCCGCGGGCGCGGCGTCCCCTCCGCCCCGTCTCCCCCTAGGCAGTCAAGGGCCCGCGGACCCAGACCTGCCACCCAAGGTCGCTGGGTCTAGGTCAGACCCACCGCCGCGGTTGGCCCGGACACCCCGCTCAGGAACGGGCGCTTCCCAGCCGCCGCGGCCCGGGCAGAGGTCCTGGCCGCCGGAGCCAGCCTCGCCTCGCGCTCCGCCCCCCGAAAGGGCCCTCACTTGTGCGTTTGCTGGTAGAGCGGCTCCATGTCGCCGCGGGCCGGGCCTGACTTCCTCGGAACACGTCCTCACAAACCCACTTCCGGCTTCCAACTTCCGGTCGCAAACCCCCGGCCCCGCCCTCGCCAGCTGGAGCTGCCCGCTCGCGCGCCTTATTGAAGGTGGTTGCGAGGTCGGAGAAAGGGGGCGAGAAACGACACAGCGATGGAAGGATAAATGCAGTGGAAAGCTCAGCCTTGCGTGGAGGACCGAGAGGTGTGGGCTTTTGCGGATGGCGTGCTTCAGAATTCAGTCAGGCAGTGGGAAGGACAGTCGCAGAGAATCGGGGAGGGGTCCTCAGGGCGGAAGAGTCGCTGAGCCTGGTACTCGCTCCCCGCGGGAGGGAGTGGAAAGCGCTGCCCGGCTTCGCAGCTGACCCTCAGTCGTAGGTCTGGGGGATTCGCTCTTGGCTGGGCACCCTGTGACACGCGCGAGCTTTTCCTGACTCGAGTCTGTCCGCTCATTTGTCCGGCCATCTCCCTCATCCCAGTGTCCACCCAATAAAGCTACGTCGAATCAATGGTTATCGTGTGTCACGTGACTGGGGTCGCGCATGGTTGTGTGTCACGTGATTGGGGTGTCAAGTGGCTATCGCGAGTCACATGACTGGGTGTCGGGTGGTTATCGTGAGCCACGTGACTGGGTGTCCAATGGTCGTCGTGAATTACGTTATTAGTGTTGGACGAATGGTTATCGTTTGCACGTGATGGGGTGTTGCTTGGTTATGGGGTGTTGCGTGGCTATTGTATGTCATGTGATTGGGGTGTCGAGTAGTTGGGGTGTCGAGTGAGTCATATAACTGGTGGTGTCGCGTGGTTATCGTGTGTTACCTTATTGGGGCTGGACCAGTGGTTATCGTGAGTCACGTGATTGTGGTGTCAGTGGTTGTGTGTCACGTGATTAGGGTGCGTGGTTATGTGTCACATGATTGGGTTGGACAGGTGGTTTTCGTGTGTCACGTGATTGGGGGTATCCAACGGTTATCGTGTGTCCTGTGATTAGGGTGGACGAGTGGTTATCATGTGTCATATGTGAGTTGGAGGCTGGTGAGAGGTTATGTGTCATGTGATATGGAGTGGGTGAGTGGTTATTGTGTGTCACGTGTGAGGTGGGGATGAACAAGTTGCTATCACTCATGTGACAAGATGGACTTGTGCTTACCGTGGGACATGGGGACGGACAAGTGGTTGTCATGTGTTGTGTTTTGCAGGGGAAATCGGGTTCCTCCTGCCCTCAGGCTTCCGCCTAGGAAAGGAAATGAGATATGTATACTGTCAAAGGACAAAACTGTCCACACATGGAGGTTCACGCCTGTAATCCCAGCACTTTGGAGGCTAAGGTGGGTGGATTGCTTGAGCCTAGTTCAAGACCAGCCTGGCCAGCAGAGTGACACCTCGTCTCTACAGAAAAGCTTTAAAAAATTGGCCAGGCATAGTGGTGTGTGCCTGTAGTATCGCCTACTCAGGAGGCTGAGGCAGGAGGATCACCTGAGCCCAAGAGGTTGATCCTGCGATGAGCCGTGATGGTGCCACTGCACTCCAATCTGGGTCACAGAGTGAGACCTCGACTCAAAAAAAGAAGGGTTCATGGACTAAGTAGCACATGCATAGAGCTTTGAAGAATGGGCGGAGTGCCACTGGTGCCCTGCGTCTCCTAGCCTCTCCATAGGTGTCTTCTGTATGGACCTGCTAGAGATGAGGAGTGTCTGGTACCAAGAGAACTGCTTGAGCAAAGGTGAGCAGAGAAGAACGTGGGGTCCTCTGGGCTGGTTTAGGGTGCTCGGGACAAGATTGGGGGGATCGTCAAGGTCGGACTTCGGTTTTACTTACAGGTTTTTGTTCTATGCCTAGTTGGAAGCCATCAGAGAAGACTCAGATGAGAACCGTTTTTAAATTTCTTGAAGAATGTTTATGCCTATATCCTGTTTCCCTTTGGGCTTCATCGCATTCCCATGGGCAGAGTGAGGCAGATAGGAAAACTGAAGCCCTGAGGGTCTCTGCTCTGCCTCTCAGGTTCTCGGGACTTTGTGTCTCCTCCGGATTCCTTTAGATAAAATACCATCCCTCTGTCTTGCTGCATTCTTGCTTCTGCCCTGTGTCTCCTTTTTGTGTGTGTTGCTAAACCCCTTGTTCGGTTGACCTATGATGCTGCCTTCTCTAGGGAGGCCTTGGCCTCCAGCCTCACCTGTATTCTCTAGCACTGCCTTCCAGACTCACCGGAGCCCTCTGGCTCAGTCCACTTGTCTCTTCCCATAAAGCCTCCTACATCCTACGTCACTGAGTTCATCCTCTGTGTTAGGCTGGGCACAAAGTTGAGGAAGACAACATCTCACCCTGAAGCTCTTTGATATACTGGGAGGAAAACGTCTACACAGATACCAGATCATTAGAATCCTACGTGGTGAGCATGGGCTACAGGCCATTGGGAACTCTGGGGTGACAGAGCAGACACTTAACCTAGCTCAGGGACTCAGGAGGGGTTTCAGGAGGTGTCACCTAGACTGAGTCTTGAAAGATAAGCCCAGTGGGAAGAACACCCCAGAAGGAGGAAACACAAATGCAGGGAGACATGGTGTGCAGGGAAACGACATGCGTTAGATGTCACTGGAACATGACGTGGGAGAGTAAAAAGGACAAGGCCAGAGAGGGAGGCTGTGGCCAGGTGGGTCTATGGGGCTCAGACTTCACTTTGTAAGTGGTGGGGAACCATAGAAGGGTTAACTTTGGGGGTTTTGGGAATAGAGCTGCATTTTAGGGAGGTTGCTCCAGCTGCAGGCCAGCAGACGTTGGGTTTCGGGGGAGGGAAGTCAGATGAGAAGGCTATTTCACAGTGTATCACTGGTGAGGAGTGCTCTGGGAAGCATGGGTGTGTGTCCATGTATTGTCTATCTATCTGAATGAATAAATGACAGAGTCTCTCTCTCTCTCTCTCTCTCTCTCTCTATCTATCTATCTATCTATCTATGACAGTCTTTCTATCTATCTATAAATAACAGTCTATCTATCGTCTATGTCAATCTGTCTGTCAATCATCTGTCTGTCTATCTAATGTTGGCGAAACTCTCTTTAGGGTTTGTGGGGCCCCAGGCAAATACTTCTGTGGGCCCTTTCTATATAAGCAATTTGATTAAAAACTGTACTACAAAATTCATAGACCCATGTGAGGAACAGTGATTTATCAATGATGATTTAGAATTCTTGGTATTTTACTATTATTATTAGGAAGAGTGCTTAGATGTTTGCTTATTGGCCAGTGGTGCATGTGAAGATGACTTGCAGTGTTCAGGCAACATTCTCCCTGCAAGTTGGGGTCTCATATTCTGTCACCTGGGCTGGAAGTGCAGTGGTGTGAACCAGGCTCACTGCAGCCTTGATCTTCTGGGCTCAGGCGATCCTCCATCCTCAGCCCCCTGAGTAGCTGGGACTACAGGCATGTGCCACTATGCCTGGCTGGTTTTTTTTAATTTTTTGTAGAGATGAGGTTTCTCTGTGTTGCCTAGGCTGGTCTCGAACTCCTGAACTCAAGTAATCCTTCTGCTTCATCCTCCTAAAGTGTGGGATTACAGGCGCGAGCCACCATGCCCAGCCTCAGAAACTATCTCTTTGTGTTCCTCATTGTTGATATGCTATTTCTGACTAGTGTCTAGCAGCCACAAGAACAAGGAATGCTGCTGTTTTTGTCCACAAAGCCATGGCTCTTCAGGACCTGCTTGTGGTGACCTGTGTAGCTTTTCTTGTCCCTCCAGTTCCTAATGCCATTTGTCTCAAACTGGCACCACAAAGAGTCCCCACTAGAGCAATGGGTGGAAATGTGGGGGTAGGGCCACCACAGAAGGTCCTCAGTATAGCAGTGCCTGATGGAGCCACAGAAGTGGGGCGACCTCCCAGTCCCACAGTGCCCCCCATGTGCAGTGCCAGCTGCTGAGCTCCAGAGCTGCTGCCAGAGACCAGCAAAGCCAGGAGTGGGGCTGCCCGGGGCTTCCCAGTGTGTCCAGGAAGCAGGACATCAAGTCAAAGGAGATCACTCTCCAACTTTAAGACGTAATGTTGTTTTCCATGCTGGGTTTTAGACTTTCTCGGGACCAGTCACCCCTGTTTTCTTGCCCGTTTCTTTCTTTTGGAGTGGGAATGTCCACCCGGTGCCTGGCCCACCTCTGTGCTGTGGAAATAGATAACTTGTTTTGATTTCACAGGCTCACAGCAGGAGGGATTTGCCTCCAGATGAATTGTGTCTTGAGTCTCGCCCATGCCTGGTGTATATGAGACTTTGGACTTCTGAGTTGGTGCTGGAAGGAGTTAAGGCTTAGGGAACTATTGGGATGGAATGAATATATTTCACAAGTGAGAAGGACATCAATTTGGGGGCCGGGGGCAGAATCCTATGGTTTGGATGTGTGTCCCCCAAAAGTTCATGCACTGGGATTGAAGAGTGGGGTCTTTGAGAGGCAGCCAACTCACGAGGGGAGAGCCCTCATGCACAGATCTCTCCAAGCTCTCACCCTTCCACACAGGACAAGCCTCATCAGATGCTGGTGCCTTGCTCTTGGACTTCCCAGCCTCAAGAACTGTGAGCTGAATAAGCTTCTTTTCTTTCAAAAATACCCAGCCTGTGGTATGCTCTGACAGCAGCAAAAAAATGGACTAAAACAGCTGTTGACATCAGCAAAGACTCGTGTGGAGTGCTGGTGACATTGTACTCATGGCATTGCCTCAGTCTTCACTCTGCCCTAGAATACTGGCTTGAGTGTGGGACTGCAGGCTTGAGGTAACTCAGAACTGGTTCTAGTACTTTCTTGGTGACGACACTAATGGCAGATCAGATGGCAGGAAAACGTGAATAAAAATTCACTGATCAGTTTTGTCGTGCACGTGCACAGCAATGTATCATCGAACCACATCTTCTCTTGAATTCTTTAGGCATTCATTGCTGTGTTTCTAGAAGGGGATCTCTTTCGAGTGCTGATTGTACCCCTGCCTTCCACATGCCAAAATGAGTTGGTGGGGGGAAGGGATGGATCAGTTAGGGGCTCCTGGGTGGAA